GTCTTACTTTCGTTCTCTTCCTGCCGAGAAAGAGATTCTGATGCTCTGCCCCAGCCTGCTTTAAGCATAACTTTTTACCATTGGTCTTACATCCTATGCTGATCTTAGAATATCAAGTCAGTTTTACTCTTGGGCCACTGTTTCAACCTGATACCCAGGTTTCCTAAACAGGTGCATAAAATGGAAAAAGGTGCAGAAACAGCAATCAAAATGATCAAGAGATGTTTGGAACGCCTTTGCTATATATGTGTGGGTGGGTGAGTGTCTGGGTTATTTGAGATATTTCTTTCAGTCTGCTCTGTCATCAAATACGTTGTACACCGAGCTCTTTCTCAAGTTTACTCTAAATTCTTTTTCTTATAATTGGAACCTGCTGATTTTGGTCCATCCCATCTCTAGCAAAAGAAGAAATATTGACTTCATCAGCTATGTGGCAGCCCTCTAAGTATTTGAGGATCACTAACTAACATATCACCACCAACTCCGTCAAGATGCATTGGCCAAATAAGAGTCTAAGCTCTGGGATCAGACCTCCCATCTTTGTTTTAAAAGCTGTCAGTGCATTTTTGGGGGCTGGATCAGATCAGGATTGAGGCTCTGTAGCAGGAAGCTGTGAGCCCCTTCCCCAGATTTCTGACCTATATTTGTGATACTAAATGTATGTGTTGAGGGGTAAGTCCCTGTAAACAGAATAAGACTAACTTCTGAAAGGCAAGTGTAGGTGAAACCATTATTAGACAACTAGGAAAATCCATAAACATATATTAGCTTTTCACCTGTACAGGCCTTCATTGGGCTAAACACCATTTATCTGTGGACAGGGCAGAAAAATGCAAGTGTTCCAAAAACTGTGGCTAGATTTTTATGCTAGACTTTTTAAAAATTCAAAATATATTTCAAAATTAACCATTTGCACTTTAGTAGTCTAATTAGAGGTATCACCTACCCTTGCCATTGGATTGTATACAAAGACCATATACTTTTTTCTTCTTTTGCTTGACTTATTTTTGAGCTGAATTCCCATGCAAATCATTCCTTTGCTGCTGTTTTGCTTTTTATTTCCTAAGGAAGGCAGCTCCCTTAATCACAAGGCTTGGAAAATACATGTTTTTTGGACTACAACATTTAGAATCCTCCAGCAAATAATTAGCCATGCTGGCTGAAGGATTCTGGACGTTTACAGTAAAAATGCAACTTTCCCAAATCCTGATACCTTAATGGAGTATTTAGTATACTGCCCCAGCCATGCCATTGGGCAAACTGAGGCAACCACCCTGGGTAACAGATGTTGAGGGCAGCCGATAGATATGCCAAATTGTTCTTCCTGAAACTCACAACCATTACTGTCTGTTGAAGGACAGAACTGGGTACATCTTAAAGTCTGTCTTTGGCTCCTAAACTAACAAGCAGTTCAAATGTGATGGAAGATGGTATCATACCACTGGTTGTGAACCAGTCCAGATGGCTTCTGAATGCTAAACATGGAGGGGGGGGCACAATCTTGCTCTTTGCAAAATATCCTGGGTCAGCCACCTGGGGTAAGCAAAAGAGGAGAGCAACTGGCATTTCCCCCTGTCAAGTAGGCTTCCAAGAGGCATCTTGTAACTGAGAAACATGATACTGGCACAGATGAACCTTTCGGTCTAATCTAGCACAGCTCTTGGTGTTAAAATTCTATAGGATTTATCAGCTCCTGCAATCAATGGCTCTTCCTTGAAACAAGACCTAGCAGTGCAGCTTTTCTATGGACTGACTGACTCTTGTCAGCACAATCTTCTCCAAAGTTCCCCAGTTGGAGAGGATATTGTAAGAAATATCAATCTCCTTGATATTACTTTGGCACTGATTGACTAGCCAAATTACTAGCTCTGCAGATTATTATGAACTCTCTAGTTGTCTACTGAGTTCATTGATCAATGTGAATATGCCGAGCTGCCAAAAGTAATATGTGGCTATGCCTCTGGACTTCCAGGTGCATGTTACAAAATCATACATCATCAAAAGGTTTTTTATCAACCTATCTTAGGGAAAGTTAGGAGAACTAGTATGTGGTATGTAACCCTAGAAGAGTAAGAGCCCCCTTTGGTATGCAATCAGTTCTCTGGGAGATTCCGGCAGTAGTCAGCTGTTTTTGAAACTGGAAAAGAGAGACCATATGCCCCCTTTCCATTCACTTAACAGGGGCATAATTCAGCAGAACGTTCTTTGGTGGAAGCCTCATTGAAATGAAGATTCCCTTTACATTATGGGCAGGCTGTGGGCCAAGAGACCGATTCCCTTTTTGCCCAGCTCTTGTTGATGTTAGCTCAAGACATTATGGGCAGGCTGTGGGCCAAGAGACAATCTCCTGCCTTTAATGGAGTGGCACCATCCTTGTCCATTGCTGCACTTTGCCTTGTAATAGGGTTTGCATCTGAATCACTATCTTGGTTAGCAGAGCTGGGGAGTGTGTGCATTTCAACTTGAGAAATAGGTAGCACCTTTTGAAGGGGCAAGTCAGTTTTGGCTCAGGACAGCTAGTTGTTGACCAAGCCCACTCAGCTTAACTATTCCAAAGTGGAAAAAAAAATGCAGATCTCATAGATCCATGTCAAGTAAAAGTATTAATGTACAAAACAGACTAGCTTCTTAAACACACTGCAGCTAAAACAGAGACTACATGGAAGGATCTGATGCTTTACAAAAGGGGGGAAAGAGTGGCTTTGGAAGATGCCATTAATAAATAAGTTCATCCCCCACCCCCAACTTTAACTCTCATATCTTTCCATGCTACCTAAACAGAGTAGTGTGGCATCTATCTGTTCTAACTGAAGTGACTGATGAAGCCAGTAACTATCTATGAAAGAATTCCCAGGTTCGAACACCCACTCCAAGATATGAGATCCCCTGAAGTACTAAGCATGGGTCCAAGACAACAAAATATTACAAAGTGAGAACATAGCTGTTTAATTTTTGCATTACCAAGAGAGAGGACAACATAACTATTAGAAAGGGGGGTGGTCCCTGTTTACTCTCCTGTGAAAGGAGGCTGCCTGGCTTCATTATACACACACACCCCTTTTAGAAAAGATTTGGGGGGGGCAACAATGCTGTTCAAATTAAATGCTGATTTATTTATTTTTTGCTAGGTGGAAATAAATTTAGATTTCCCTCTAGGATTTGGAAGAATAATCTGTTTCTCATATCTTTTGCCACTTTTTTTTTAAAAAAGCAAGCTACTTGCAAGCTTATCTGATGTAATGTTTGCTTGGTGCCATTAAAAACACTGCACTCTATATTTAAGGAGAATTCAAAGTACACACACAAAAGCAGGATCTCAGACCATCACAACTACAACCACCCCCAGCTTAGCAGCATACTGATGAGATGGCAGCTGCCCCAGTTGACATAGTACTATTGTTTTCTCCAAGCTGGATCCTGGAGAGACAATTACATATAGAAATAAAAGGTGACAGATGCAAATTCCACACATTTTCCACCATTCTGGCATATGGATCTATCCCAAGTCTCCTTCTATTACAGCTGAGCATGGGTAAGGATCTACATTAGGGTACTGACACCCCATAGCCAGCCTGCCTCCAAGATTTCATTAGGCATATGTTTTCAAAGTCCTGAAGGTCAAACAAAATTGCTAGAAATCTGCTTCACTAAGGAATAGAACCTGACACCAAATATTGTTATTATCTAGATTACTGGTTCTCAACCTTGGGTAACCCAGGTATTTTCTTGCAACTGCAACTCTCAGAAACCAAAGCCAGCACAGCTGGTAATGAAGGCTTCTGGGAACTGCAGTCCAAGAACACCTGGGTTACCCAAGGTTGGGAACCATTGATCTAGGTGATCACTTACGTGGGATGCAAGTTGCTCTGATCTCATCCCTTAGCGCAGGTAAGGTGTGCTCTTAGACTGAAAGGTAGGTGCATGATTTTAATTCTGGGGAAGTAAAACTCACAGGTCAAGTACTACATGTGCATAGGGGTTGGGTGTATTCATTTCTTTTGAGCTTGCTAATCCTTATACCTTAGCTTCGGGCTCAATGTGAGTGTTGTGCAGCATTCAGTGGGTCGAATGGATATCAACAAGTGCATACGAGAACAAACTCACAGCTTGGATCATCCTCCAAGCCCTCTAGTTTCTCTGCGGCACCCAATCAGGGTATCCACTCAGCAGTTTCCATTCAGTTTAGCTCAGCCCATAGAATCAAGGTGGCAGATACAGATGTTTCTGAGAATATACTGTTATTGCACCCTTGGACAGTTTGTAACACACTTGTTATGTGCAGCAGCCAACTGATCACTGAATTAAACTTCCCACCTTCCTTCTCATACCTTATATGGAAGTCACAGCGCATGGCCAGTGTGGGCAGTGATGAGCCTGGCAGATAGCACATTCTATAGGGCTCTGTCAGTGCTTCCCTGTCTTGATCTAGCTCCCTCCTGATGTACTGAACTCCCATCATCTCCAACAACCATGACAATGGCTGACTGGACAAGGCTAGGAGTTGTGGTCCAGTATTTCCATAGGATGCCATGCTGGGGAAAATTTACTCCAAGAAACAGAAAGGAAAGGTTCAAAGGACAAAGAATGAATCCACAGAACACTAGAGGGCAGGAAGAGAACAGTTAGGGCACATGACTCTTCAAAGTGCAATGGGGTGAATGCGGAATTCTTGCAAGGGAGCTGAGACACATGGACAACTCCCACCTCCCTGTCACCATCTTCTGCACACACTCTCACCCCACCCCTGCATTAGTGTTAACAAAGAAAACTTGGGGCTGTGAACTATGTATGTCCCTTGTCATCGGCTACTGTGCTCTTACTAAAGAGATACCCACTTCAACGTAGACAGAAGCTTTGGCCATCCTCCTTCCCAGCCAATGGCCTCTCCTTTCTCTCTTTCTTTCTTTCTCTCTCTCTCTTTCTTTCTTTCTTTCTTTCTTTCTTTCTTTCTTTCTTTCTTTCTTTCTTTCTTTCTTTCTTTCTCCAGCTTTTTTCTTTTCCAAAACACTTTAAAAGATGGACATGCTGTTCTGCCCCTGTACCATTTTCAGTTGTGCATTTATCTACCATACTCAACCGGGCCTTGCCTTCTTTTAGCCAGCAGCTCATCTCCTTTAGGATCTCGTCTCAAGGTACCACACCCTCTTTTGCCCACTGCATACAGACTTAGATCAGATTCTACATATGCCATTTTGCAAATTCAGCATTTGATGGAAAGATTAAAATGTCAAGCCTGCCATTCCAGGACTAAGTGAGGATGAGTACGGTTGGAAAACAAAGAAGGCATAAAGTTACAAGCCAAATTGGACAAGGAACTCTGCGGGTGTTGCCAAAAGGGCTATTTCCTCCATCCAACAAGTGCACATGTATGTTAGTACATGTCTCTCTGGATGGTACATGTATCGCACCAATTGAATGTTTAGGATGGGCAGGAAGAATCTGGATGTAGTCCTCCTCCAGTAGCTGATCTTTGCAGCAGCACATGCATAGTGCCTCCAAATGAAGCTTTTTATTGTATCATCACCCTGCTCCAAACATGGCATCTTACAACAGAGTCTGGACAACATAGCCTTTTTTTCAAAAAGCAATCTTGCTCCTTTCATCTTATTTCCTGCCAGAATTTTTTGTGTGTGTGAAGGATGAAAAACAACTGACTGTATGACGTGATTTTGTGATTTTGCTGGTATCGTTAAGAGTCGCCTCTCTAGAAACATTAACTGACAACTGGAGAGGGACTAAGAAGATAATACACCCAGGGATAACAAAGGACACAATTGAACTGGAATGTGGCAGAAGTGCTGGTCTGGGTGCATTTCTAAGGTGAGTTGTTGTCTAAGTAACAAGTGCATCTTGTTGATGGCCGTTTCTGTCCATCAGGTTTCTCAACACTCAGCTGAAGTGAAGGGGAGAATATCAAGCATTATTCCAATGTCTAGCTGCACCTTAATCTGTGCCAAAGCTGCCATGAATGCAAGGAAGAGAAGCATTTGCTGCTCTTGTTAGTTTCCAGTAGCCTTCTCTTAAAAAAAAAGTCTATTTTTAAAATGGGAGGGGGAAGGGGGAGAAAAAAAAACTCAAAACGAAATCACACAAAGACACTCTCTCATTCTCATACATGCACATAAACACACACAGAGAGACAATTTGGAATGTAGCACATCTGTCTGGGCAAGCAAAAAACAAACAAAAAACGAATCAGAAGATGACATTCTGGAAAGTTGCTTCTATTTCTTTCTTCTTCTTTCTTTAAGGGTGTAGCACTGATCTATTCCCCCCCCCCCTTTTGCTTTTTGACTAAGAAGAAAAAGAAGCAAAACCAAAACACACAGAGGACAGGAGGGAAGATGATTTTAAACAGCAGTGGTCATACTTCTAATGGTCATCAGTGTACACCCACCACCAATGTCTGAAAAATAGTGCAAATTGGAAGAAGTGGCAGAGATGTGCCTATAATGACAGTCTCTCCATGAAGGTTGGGAGGCTTTTGAAGTCCCCCGGTGTTATTCCACTCTCCTGGCCTCTTCCCCCTTAAGAGATGGGGTTTTCTCCAACCAAGGGTGAGAGTGCTCAGAATGTTTGAACCATGATCCTCAATTCCCTTCCTCACAACAAGTTCCAAAAAACAAAAACAAAAAACTGCCTGAAGGAACGAGGAGCCTGACACCTTTGAGGAGGCATCAGATTACAAAACAGAGGCAGAGGCGCTCTTAAAGCGATGGGAAGACCAATGTTGTCTTCAGACAGGATCTGATTTAGCCTAGATCCATGAACAGGGAGTGGAAGATGCTGTTTCCCAGAATGGAGCTCACTGGAGATAGAGGAAAGGAATAGCTCCAGATGTTTGACAAAGTCTCTGTTCCACCATGCTGGTGTCTGAAGGCGATGGAAACGATCCTGCGAGTAGCTGGAAAACATCTCAAAGGCGAGCATAGTTTGGTGCTTCCAAATAAGGCATTTCCTGTGCAGTCGCTCTGCCACAAACATGGGGTCTCTTCCATTTGTAGCCCTCCAATATTCTTCCACCATTCCTTGTGTCTTTTGTCTTACCACACACACACACACATATGCACACCCCGTATCTTAACGCGGGGTCGATGGAATCCCTGCACAGGGCCTTCTGACTGGTGGTAGCACTAGGAGGCCTCTTTCTGGAAGCACCTTTTAGAATGGCCCTTGTAAACTGTGGGTTACCCACAAAGGCTCCTGAAGGTGAGGAAGAGAAGTGTGATTGTGAGAGACCATTTCCTCCAGGTTCCATTGTTAAGACACAAAGCTGGTAGAGATTCAGGAGCACAAACGTGTTGGCTTTTTCTTCCAGCAGAACTGCATCTCAACAAAAATCTGTGAAGTCATATCTCTGTCAATTTGCTTCTTCACAGGAGCAAACCTCCAGGTGCAGGTTTTATGTGTGCGTGTCTCCAAAACTTAAGCAAAAAACGAACAACAACAACAACGACAAAAGCTTCCTGATCTCACCTCCTTTTGTACTGAAGACCTCATATTCCACCCTGTTCCGTTTTGCTGGAGCCGGATCTTCCGGCTGCCAAACAGCTTGACGGATTTTTCTTAGCCTTGGTTTGAAAAATGCCCTGCTCTGCAAAGAGAACAGGATGACCAGGGTGACGTGGCCATGGTACAGCTTGCAGATCCTACTCTTGCAGGGGCATCTGCAGCTTCACCCTCTCCCCTCTGAAGTGCAATCTCCCACGAACTAAGTGTGGCACAGTAGATAAAGCCAGGAAAGAGAGAAGGGTGCTCACTCCACCTGCTGCCTTCCGAAGGGCACGATGCAGCGGGGCCGGAACCAAGGAACAGAGACCTTCCTGACGTGCCTTAGCTTGCCGTCGTCCTGCCAATGGCAAGGAAACATTTCCAGGAAGTCTGGCATCATGGGGTTTCTCTCTGTTTTGGGGACCCATGGCGCAGAGAGAGATTGTTTTCCTGTGGCAGAGACTAGCCTGGTATTGCTGAAAAGTTAACCCTTGTCCTGAACAGGGGCGCCTCCCTTTTCATTCATGCTCTAGAGGAGGAGAAGAAGATGGACAGAAGAACAGAACTGTCTAAATTGGTTGTACACCAAACAACAATAGAGGAAAAAAGCAGACAGAAAATTAGAGCATCTCTCTTGGGCATTACCCTCTCTCTTCTTTGTCCCTGTTTCTTACATTCTTGCTTTCTTTCCTTAATCTCCTTATGCCTCTGGTATGATCATTTCAAGGTGTGATCATACTGTGGTGCCTCGCTTAACGACAATAATCCGTTCCAGGAAAATTGCCGTTAAGTGAAGACATCATAAAGTGAAAAAAAAAAACAATTGAAAAGCATTGAAACCCATTCAATGCATTTCAATGGGGTAAAAACTCACTGTCCAGCGAAGATCCTCCATACGGCGGCCATTTTCGCTGCCTGTATAGCGAGGAATCCGTCCCTAAACACAGCAGTGAGCCATTTTAATTACCCAGTGGCCATTTTGAAATCACCAATCAGCTGTTAGAAAAACGTCATTTTGCGAAGAATCGGTTCCCGAAGCAGGGAACTGATCATCGCAAAGCGAAATTCCCCCATTTAGACCATCGTTTTGCGATTGTGATCACAAAAGTTCGTCGTTAAGCAGATTCGTCGTAATGCGGGGCAATCGTAAAGCAACCACCACTGTATAGCTTGCATTTTGGACCACTTGGGGTGTCATCATTATTTTAGAGATGTACACCTGGAAGGGACCCTATGGATCACTGAGTCCAGCCTCTGTCAAGAAGGCACAGTGGGGAATCAAACTCCGCAGCCAGGTTCCTAAGCCAACGAGCTATCCAGAAGTATGAGCTGAAGTGGGCTATTTCCCAGCGACCACGTGATGCAAGGGCAATTAGTTTTCCAGCCTGAGCCCAATCTAGACTTTTTGCCCAGCAGCAGGGCTAACCCTTTTGAAGGCTGGGCTGGAACAATTCCCCGACAGACCCACAGTTCACTGGCAACAAAAGCCTTCCCTAACCTAGCACCCTCCATATGCATCAGATCACATTTCTTATCAAGGCCTATGCTGGCTGGGGTGATAGGGTGCTGATTTCATAAAAGGTGGTCTGTTTTAACCCCTTTCCTTCAGTCATCTTCCCACCATAACTCCCACTCATTTGTTTTTCCACTTCTCAGAATGTCTTATATTTCATTTTCCAGCCTTCACCCTCTCTGCTCCCAAATCCCTTCTACCTCTGTTGCAACTCCTGCTAAAGCAATACATCATCATAATTTGCCCCTTGAGTATGAATACAGTTCCACCTGAACCAAAATGGCTTTGTACTGGCTTTTCTATGCCATCTGCCCTCAACCCAGTAGTGGAGTTCCTTTTTCATATACTGGAATATTTGTGAACACTCTGTGACCATCACAGGAGCTGAGCCATTAGCAAGCAATCCCCTGTTTTGTTTTTTAGCAAAAAATACCCACCATTCCTTTCTGACCACCGCCATCTGCCTGCAAGTTGAGGAAAGGGTTTGTTTGTGCGGTTAGGACAGGCGGGATAGCTGCCCCTGCTGCAGCTGACATCAGGTTGTTGCCAGGAGTACTGAGCGGTGAGGAAGCCATCAAGGAACTAGCCTGGTTAAGCTGCTGAGGGGAGATAGAGGCAAGAAGGGTGCTGTTGGCAGCTGATGATGCCGCACTGTTGGAATGGAGGAGGGACGTGGAAGTAGCTGTCCCAAGGCCAGACAGGGGCAACTGGGAGGAGCCGGTCATCTGGAGGCGCTGCAGCTCCCTTTTCTGCTGAATCTGTTGAATCATCTGGAACACCAAAGTCTGCTGCTCCTAGGAAATGAATTAGAGAGACCTGTTGCAGAAGGACTTTCACACCTGCCCCTCCACACCACTAGGAAAAAAAAAGATCTCGAGAAGGAAGAGCCCTGGACTCCTTCTGTATATTAATTCTGGGGCCTAGGGCCAATTGCCTCTGATCACGTCTAAAATGGTTCCCCCTCAAGGACATATTTAAAAAATATGTGGGGATACACAGTCCAACCATGTGCAGCGTGCCCTTCCTTTGTGAAGAGAATCCCCCACCTTGCCTAGCCAGAGGCTCTCCTTGTGTCCTATGTAATGTGGTACAAATCCTCAGCCAGCCTTCCTGCCTTAGCATGGCAGTATTCCCAATCATTCTGCTACCCAAGAGGAGGCCTGGAATAGATGCTGAAAGAAAGTTACAACGGTGCCTCGCTAGACAGTTACCCCACATGACAGTTTTTTCGCTAGACATTGACTTTTTGCAATCGCTATAGCGATTTGCAAAAGAGTGATTCCTATGGAGGAATTTCACTGGATAATTTTTGGTCCCTGCTTCGCAAACTAATTTTCACTAGACAACGATTTTGACAGCTCGCTCCGTGCTCGCAAAACGGGTGTTTTCGGGACCTAAGCTTCGCAAGACAGCTATTTAATCAGCTGATCAGCAGTTCGCAAAGCAGCTTTCCTATGGCCGATCTTTGTTAGACAACGGCGATTCTTCCCCACTGGAACGCATTAAACAGGTTTCAATGCATTCCAATAGGGAAATGCTTTTTGCTAGACAATGATTTTGCTAAACAGCGATTTCAATGGAATGGATTATCATCGTCTAGCGAGGCACCACTGTACTAGACTATGTTTGGTTCAGACCTGATCAGAAAGCCGTTGTTTCTCATGGATGAGTGATCATAGAATCTCACTGCCTACACTGCCCTCTCTAGCACGTTTGCAAGCACAAAGATATTGGCAACGTCCAATTCTGCTTTTGAACAAACCACAGTTCCTTGTTACATCCAAACCTCTGGAACCATGGTTTGCCTCAGAGCTAGTTAGTGAACAAACTAAGACTGGAATCCATGTTTATCCTGTTTTCTTTTCCTTCCTTCCTTAATAATAGTTGCTGACATAGTTAATGAACAAATTAAGGTTGGAAGCCACGTTTGATTCTGTTTTTTTCCCCTTCTTGTTTACTTAGAATTGATAGTTGACTTATCTTCCGTGAAGGCTGTGACTACACTGGGAACAAATATTTTTTATTTATTTAAATTTTTTTTATCCCACCTTTCTCCTTAAAAAGAACCCAAGGCAGCAGGAAATACTATGGGTTTGAGATGAGCTGATTCACAATTTAAGCTGTTGATCACATGATGCAAAGCAAAACGAGAATCAGCTCAGAGTCCCCAGCCCTAAATCTGTAGTTTTCCCCCTCAACTACTTGGGCTTCTGATTTTTAAAAGACAGATCCTTTTGCATCGGTTCAGAATATGATCACCTGAACTGATGCAGGAAAGGATGACCTGAGCACCCCTCCACGCAGACACACAGGCAGAGAGACAGACAGACAGACACACACACACACAAAGCAGTGCTTCGTCAAAGCACCTTCCCCCTTGCCTCACAAGGATGAGCCATGTACACACACAACCAACACCAGAACACACTCACAGGGGAAAAAGCCTTTCTCTATGGCCAAAGCTTTTCTTCGTTTCCCCCCCCCCTTTTTTTTAACAATTTGTCCTCTGTGGCAAAGAGTCTTGTTTTGTTTTTGTTTTTTAAGCACTTTCAAAACAGAGAGCAAAGCTTCTCTATGGACATCAATAATCTTTTGTTTTTTTGTAAAGCTAGCAAGAGAAAATGAGGGGAAGGGGAAGCATTTTTAAATTAAATTTCAGGGGTCATTGGATTTAAGTGTCATAAATAAATAAATAAATAAATAAATAAGAAAGATATCATCACCATGGCGAGGGGGGCGATGATAACTTCCTCAATGGCTCAAGGGGGCGTTTCTTTCAAAAAGGTTAAGAACCACTGGTCTAACAGACCCAAACTCCCCAGTTCATCTTCGCGGTGAGAGAATTCGCATTTCCGCCTGTAGAGCTCCACCGTAAGTTGCTCTATCCTCTTTTGAAAAGCTTCTTCTACCCATACCTTATTGACTTTTCTTCTCCATCCAAGTCTTACCCAAACTGTTGAACCTACTCCTCCCTTCTGATACTTTTGCGTTTTTGGTACCTACTAAACCACAACATGCAATGTGTTCTACTGTTCCGGCATCAAGTGTTAGAAGAAGACTAGGACTAAGACACCTCTGACTGTCTCTGAAACAATCAGATTGTCTCTGAAACACACGCAGGAAGCTTAGGAACAAAGTTAAAATTAAAAGAAATTATTTTTAAACATTTAAGACATTTTAACACCTCCCCCCAACATTGCCTAATTAATGTTGATTTTTTTTCTTTTCTTTTTTAAGAAAATGAAGCAAGAGTAACAGCCGCTGGATAGAAGGAAGGACACTCTTTCAACCCCACCAAAAACTAAACCGGAAGTGCCCTTTTAAAGAAAGGCCAGTTTTGGCCATTTCAAGGCCTAGTGTGGCCCAGGAGGCAGGAATTTTGAATCTAGGCCACCCCTGACCTAGGCAATTGTCATAAATTCCATGTGGGTCTGTGAGTGGCATTTGCCAAAGGGCACTCAAACCACTCTAGTGTTTGATGAAAAGAGGAAAAGTGCTTCAGCAATGATTTTCATCCTCTCACCACGGGATGCTCCCTTTGAGAGCCATTGCTCTATTTCCTATCTGCATGCTGCTCAAAGTATTAGAAATCGCTGCCATTTCTAGAAATGGAAAAGTTACTTTTGGGGACTGTAGGTCCTAAAATCCTCCCAGCCAGCATGCTAGAGGGATTCCGGGACCTTTCGTCTCCTAAAATGATTTTTCCTGAGTTCTGAATCTTTCTTCCCTCAAGAGTCATTGACCGTATCCTTCGCAAAGCTTCCGCTTGTTTTGCCTCCCATTGTCCTGGAACGTTCTTTTCAAGTGCAAAAAGCCAATTTCACCAATAACCCACCAGTGCCCTTGTCTGGGACAACAGTGGGCACAGCCAGCAGGTGCGTCAGAAGTAGAGGTGGTACGTACTGCGTTGAGCGGCTGTGAGGTAAGGAGCTGTTGCAGCTGCTGCAGCTGGAGTTCGTGCTGGTTGAAGAGTTGCCTTTGCTGCTCCGTCAGGTGGCTCGTGCTGGGCATGCTGGGAAAAAGGCAAGAGGGACAGAATGGGCCAGTTAGCTCAAGGAAAAAGAGAACTGAAAATGGCGGGCTGTGTGTGCTTCACCACAAGATGTTGGCCCCCGAGGTAAAAAATTCAAATAGCATTTGTCCTTTTCCACATTATTTCTTCCACTGAATAAGAGGCATTATCAAATAAGCAGTTCTCCTTCACAAACCTCACTGGAATGAACCAGAGCTGATTACTGAGGCTCCTGTCCACAAGTTGAAATTTGGTGTGAGCTGGCAGGTGCTTAAAAGAGCCTCATCTTCAGTGCAATCTATTTTAACTCAAGCACTCACCCGCAAAGGGCAAACAAAGAGCTACTCTGCATCTCAACAAATTGTCCCAACAAGATGGCATGCCCTAGCCCTGTGCCAGAATGATAGGGACTAGACATGTATACAAAGGCTGCTGGCATAGGTGGCCTGTCCGATTACCACCTTCCCCCAGAACCCAGTAGACCACTTACCACATGGCCCACATGGCCATCGTCATCTCCTGTGCCTCAATGGTGGCAGTAGCCTGTCTGCCACAGCCCTGCCTCCCTGCTTGCCCGGCCACTCCAGCAAGGGGGCAGGAAGACGAGTCTCCCTGCTCAGCCACAGAGAGGCTGGGGGGGCGGGGC